AATGAATGAAAGTAACACTGTCCGAAGCCCCTACTGTCTCCAGTCTATTTCTGACAGTGACTGTTAGATTTATACCTTTAAAGATAGAGCATCATAAGTTTCTTTAACTAGCATTACTGTATATTCCAGGGAGTGCAGTGGCTCTGTAGGATAAGCACTGGACTGCAAACCACAAGTTTTCAGCGGTTTGAGCCCACCAGCCACTTTGTGGGAGAAAGATGAGGCTTTCTGTTCCTGTGTAGGTTTTTAAAGCCTCAGAAACCCTATACAAGGTCACATTGAGTTAGAACCAACTCAACGACACTTAGCAACAGCTTTTCTGTCAGTGGAAGCCTGCGCATTGCTATGATGCTGAACATATTTCAGCAGAGTTTCCAGATTAAGACAAACTAGCAAGAAAGACCTGTCCATTTCATCTCAAAAATCATGTCCGTGAAAACCCTAGAGATCAAAGTGTTCTAATTGACAACCTATTACAGGGTTGGCACAATACCGGGCAGTTTCATTGTCTTGTGCACGGGGTTACAATGAGTTGGGGCACTCTAGGACTGTACAATGTCAAATGATTATTTCTAGGAAACAACCTGTTGTTGAAGACCAGTTAGTCAAAGCTGCTACATCAAGTTAGGGTTGATGAACCAGAGGATGCAGGAAATCCCTGATGGTTCTGCTCATGAGCATGGCTGAAGCTTGAATTTCCTATGGCCCAGAATCTTGCTGCCCCTGGAACTGGTTAGATTTCAGCTGGCTGATTCACCTTATTTAAGCCTACAGGAGACTGATGCATTTAAACAAATGGAAGATCGCCTTGCTAATGACTAGAAGGCTCACAATCCTTGTTCAGGACTTCTTGTTCCATTATATTAATAATAAAAAAGACTTCACAGAATCAGAGTGGTCAGGGAGGTTTTCATTTTGGAATATCTTTCATCAAGCCTGTAGTGAGGTCTTCTGGCTGAACTCACTACATGGGATATCCCTGCACTTTTGTCAGTTTGTCGTACTGTGGTGTCTTGTATGATGCTGTTCTGCTGGAAGTATGGCACCAGTGTTTCCAGTCCCAGAAGGATCACCCAGGGTGGATGGGTTTCAGTACATCTTCCAGATTAAGAACAAACTAGGAATAGGCAGTCCACTTCTGAAGGATTAACCCCTGGAAATTTTATGACTAGCAGAAAAACATTGTCTGATACAGTGTTGGAAGATGAGCCCATGAGGTTGAAAGATACTGAAAATACAACTAAGGAAGAGCTGTAAAGTCAAGCTTAATGACATGGATGGAACAAAGCTTTCAGGACTTTCATTGGCTGATCATGCCTGACACAAAATGAGAACAGCTGCAAATAAATTGCACCAGTGACAGGAAATTTTCTAATTTCCTCTTATAGATAATACTGGACTTGTGGTGTGGCGCTGTAGGATCAGCAATGGACTGTGAACCACAAGGTTGGCAGTTCAAACCCACCAGCTGCTCCTCAGAAACCCTATACAGGATTGCTATGAGTCAGAACCACTTGATGGCACTTAACAACAGCAACAATAGTAGACAGTACTGGATAAACACTGCCAACTTCTGTCTTTTTAACTGTCAGTGTTTTAGACTTTATGATGATTTTTCTTCTCTGTTCTCACTTTTTCCACTTAGGATACAATCCATTGACTAGGTTCCTGAGACTCAATGCCAGTGATTACTTTTCAGGTCCAGCTGTCAGATGACATGAAGGTTTCCTCCATTGGAGTTTTGAATGAGCTCACGATCTTCAACTGCCTATTTGCCCACACATTCTTGATTTTTACCCCACAAATAGCAAGAATAGCCTTTGCACATGGATTTTACTGGTTGAACTCTCTAGTGAACTTATCACTAAGTTCCTGGAAGGCATGTCACATTTGTTTGCAACTATCACCAGCAAGCAGTAAATTTCTTGGTGTGTGAGGGGGAAGTGGAAAAGACATGAGGGTCAAGCAAATGTTAGAACATGGCCATCTTTACTTATCATAATAACAATTCCTGTTTATTTCTTATAGTCATTGTTCATTTCTATTCATAGGCACTCTGTACTCTCATTACACTATTATAGTTACAGCACCTACCATGTAGGGTTTGTGATTATTGTCCATGTTTCTACCTCTTCAGACAGACCAACAGTCCTCAAGCCTTTTTCTCTCAAGCCTAGTTGAGGAATGTTACATAAGGCCATTTGTGCAATAGCTCACTCTAGAATTTGTGCTTTGAAAATATACCGCTTCTTTCTTCTCTGTCCTCTGTATCTCTTCCTCTCGTTAACAATCCCTGAGCTGGGATACTAGTTCTCTGAAGTCAGGTGCAGACTCTTTGAACTCTTTGAATATCAGCCCCTAACTTGTAACTGGAACAATGTAGAATGAGTAATGATGCCTGAGGTCGCTGACTGATTGGTAAGTGTGCCAGAGCTAGAACACCATCTTAAGTTATTGTAACTTTTTTCAGCTTTGTCTCTGGGTATAGTATGTTGACTTTTTAAGTTTCTTTCTTTTTTGGTTTCATGAATAGTAGTTGAGAATTTCCATTGTAAAGGAGTTGAACAATATTAACGATTACATTTTTAGAGAAAAAATTATTCCTCATTGAAAAAAATAAAAATTTCCCTTCACTTAAAAAACTCATTTTAATCAAAACAGTTATTTCTTGAGAGATTAACTACTGCTATTGATGAACACTATTGTTAAGTGCTGTCAAGTTGGTTCTGACTCATAGCAACCCTGTATAAGGTTTCCGAGGATGGCGGGTGGATTTGAACTGCTTGTCTTGTGGTTTGTAGTTCAGTGCTTACCCTAAAGGGCCACACCAGGGCTTCTGTTTGACATTGTTGTTGTTATTGCTGATAAGTGCCATTGAGTCAGTTCTGACTCATAGTGACCCTGTATAGTGTTTCCAAGAAGCAGCTGATGGGTTTGAACCTCTGACCTTGTGGTTAGCAGTCCAGCACTTATCCTACAGTGCCACACCAGGATTCACATTAGGCAGTAGCAGTATGGCACTGTAGGTTAATGCACTGGACTGCAAAATCCTTTGAACCACAAGATCAGTGGTTCAAGATCACCAGCCGCTCCTTGGAAACCCTATACAGGGTCGCTATGGGTCAGAACTGACTCGACATCACCTAACAACAACAACAACATTATTCTTATGTAACCAGCTGCTTATTGTCTCCCGTTAGTATTTTTGTTGTTTTAGATCCAGGTTCTCATTATGCTTTATTTATCTGAGGCATTAGTTAGGTATTTCAATTGGTTTGTATATGAGAAAACTTTATCCCTGTGGCTTTTTCCAGAAATGGTACATGTGAATTTTCCTAGAATGATTTATTTTACTGAGAATTATTTTTTCATATAATCATACTTCATATGAGAAGAAAAATCCCCTATCTCTTCCTGAAATGCATTATTGCTCTTACATTTGGTTTATGTAAGCATGTTATTGTTGTTGTTATGTGCTGTGGAGTTGGTTCCGACTCATAGCGACCCTGTACAGGGTTTCCGAGGCTGTAAATCTTTACGGGAGCAGAAAACCTCATCTTTCTCCCACGGAAAACAGCTGGTAGTTTCGAACTGTTGACCTTGTGGCTCACAGCCCGATTCGTAACCACTACGCTACCAGAGCTCCTTTATGTAAGCATATCCACCCTGATTTCATCTGGAATGAGGTGAGATGTCATCAGTCTTTTTTTTTTATTAATTAATTACATTCTACAAATAATATTGAGTGTCCACCATGTACCATGGTACTGTAGGATAAGCATTAGACTTCAAAACATAAGGTTAGCAGTTCAAACCTACTAACTGCTTCTTGGAAACTCTATACAGATTTGCTATGAGTTGGAACTGACTCGATGGCAATTAACAACAACAACAACATCTGTGTAATGATTAAGTGCTCAGCTGCTAACTGAAAGATCAGTGAGTCTAACCCACCAGTCTCTCTGTGAGAGAGAAGAACCGGCAATCTGATGCCATGAAGATTTTAACCTAGGAAATCCTATGGGGCAGCTATACTCTGTCCTAGAGGGATGCTGTGAGTCGCAATTGACTCAAAGGCACAGAATGGCAGCCCCCATGTACCAGGTTCTGCCCTAAAGGCTGAGATTTCAAAGAGGAACAAGAGACACTCCACTTTTAAGACGCTGCCTATATGTGGTCAAAAGTCATCCTGTGTGACAGGTACTATAGTGGGTGTACAGCTGACCTGTAGTTGTGGGGGACACAAAGAAGGATTGACTGGTTGACCCCACCCTTTCAGAGAAGGCCAGCCTTGAGATGAGTCTAGAAGGATGGACAAATTTTCCAGGAATGGAGAAAAAGGGCTTTCTAGACAGACGGCACTGCATGTACAAAGACAAGATGTGAAATCGCATGGTGCTTTTAGAAACTCTGAGTGATGCCATTTGATTGGCTAGCTCGAGTACTAAGGTGAAGGCCAGAGGACTCACAGTCTTTCTTCCTGGCACATACTCTTGGCAGCTAATGTATTTTTCATATTACAGAGTGAAGTGCATTATGGATAAAAGGTTGTTAATAAGACTCCTTACAACAATCAACCATATGAGATCAAAAGGGCAGCATTTGCCCAAAGATAAGTCTCAGAAGGAATGGACAGGAAAGAAGGACAAATAGAATAAATAAACACTGGATGTGGGAAGAATGTTGTTACATATCGGGGACTGCAATCAATGTCCTGAAACAAAATGTGGATGAATTGTTGAATGGAAAACCAATTTGTTCTATAAACTTCCCCCCAAATCACAATAAAAAGTTAAAAACAAAAGTATCGACTGGGGTTGATTAAGTAATTGTGAAGGGATTTCTACAAACAAACAAGAACCTGTTCCTTCCCATAAACACTAGAATCTGTTTTAATGTAACTGGAAATAGAGTGATTGAAAGAGATAGGAAGCAAACTAACTGTTGACTGATGACAATTTTGGCTATTTTCCTAGCCTGCCTTCGGTAACTCAGGGATGATGTGGGCCTTGGCATTGTGGATGTTTCCTCTACTCTACAGACTCAGCCTGGCAGGTAGGATAGCTTGGGTATTTTGATAGGTCATGTGATTCCTAATGTCTTCTTTGGATAAGAATTGTTGACTTTGGAACCAAGGGACAACTGGATCATCGTATACATAGAACCCCTGATTTCTATGTGTGTATGCATTATGCCAGTGGTGGGGGTGGTGGTTATGTGCTGTGGAGTTAGTTCTGACCCATAGTGACCCTGTACAGGGTTTCCGAGGCTGTAAATCTTTACGGGAGCAGAAAGCCTCATCTTTCTCCTGCAGAACAGCTAATAGTTTCAAACTGCTGACCTTGAGGTTAGCAGCCTGATTGTAACCACTAGTCTACCAGAAAACCTTATTGTGCCAGTGGTTGTATATATTTGGTAAGCTGGCTTATAATATTTCCAAAGGAAGATGTGACCTCCAAAAGGCTTAAGAGCAATAGTACATGCTTCATATGAAACACATACATAATACAAAAATAAATGTTTTACACTGTTGGCCATAAATTCTAAGGATGTAAAAGGAAATGGTAAAACTATATATTTCTACAAATTCAAACTGAAGAACTATAGGGCCTGCTATCTGTCCCAAATCTTTCAGATCTAAGACCCATTAAATTGACCACATTTTATATTTAAAAAATTAATTTCAGAGAAAAAGGTGCACATGGGGGTTGGGCACTCAGAAGGTGGAGTAAACATTATGATGTAATTGGGGGTCATCAAGAAGGTAGTGGTAACCCAGTGGTGACCTCAGTCCTGGTATGGCCTGCCTTGCAGCCTAGAGGGTTACACCTATGGTGCCCAGGAACGTTACAGACAATAGAGGCAGGCGACATCTCCCCTGGTCAGCCAAATAATAAAGAAAAAAACACCAAAAACCTAAACTCACTGCCACTGTGTCAATTCCAACTCATGTTGTTGTTGTTGTCATGTGCCATGGAGTCGGTTCCGACTCATAGCGACCCTGTACAGGGTTTCCGAGGCTGTAAATCTTTACGGGAACAGAAAGCCTCATCTTTCTCCCGCAGAACAGGTGGTAGTTTCGAACTGCTGACCTTGCGGTTCACAGCCCGATTCATAACCACTACGCTACCCCTGTATAGGGTTTCTAAGGCTGTAAATCTTTATAGGAACAGGAAGCTTCATCATTCTCCCACAGAGTGTCTGGTAAACGTGAAATGCTGACCTTGTGGCTAGCAGTCCAGCCCAGAAACCACAAATTGCTCTTACTTATCCAATCCAAATTTCTAATTATGTGCATTCTAACTCCCATCCCTGTACCCTTTCTTTTCGTTTTCTACTTTCTATCTCTGTCTTCTCTTCTTATTACTCTTTATATATGTTGCTGTTGTTTAGTGCCATCGAGATGGTTCCTACTCATAGTGACCCTATATAGGTTTTCTGAGGAACAGCTGGTGGATTAGAACTGCTGACCTTGCAGTTCAAACCAACCTTGCAGTCCAATGTTTATCCGATACCATCTCCTATATAACAGGCTCCAGTTTCCGCCCCACTTCCCATCTGGAATACCTTTGCCTTGGTCTCTGCTCAGGCTTGTCTTTTGTCCATTTCAAGACTGTAAAACTATGAAGCACAGGCTGTTCCTCTCACAGCCTTCTCTGTTCAGATGGGTTTGCTAATTCTTTGCAAAGGCCACACAGACACTGTACTTAGGTGGGGTTTAATGGGGAAGTTAACAGGTTACAGTTTGAGGTCAGAAATGCTCAGGGTACAATTGTTCCAGTCATCTACTGAGAAAGGCCCACAGGACACAACACTTCACCATAAGCTCGAGCTCCAGGTGTCAGCAAACCCTAGCTTCCGCACATAAGTGTCTGGAGGCACCTCACTCCACAAGCAAGTTTCCTGCGTGAAGTTGTTCAGCTTTACTTGCTCTGTGGGTTGCAAAGTCTGCTGATAGCACTATACTTTGTTACTTATATTCACAAATTCTAAATTTCAACGATATAAGTTCCCATATAAGCTGATTGTTGTTGTTGCTAAGTGCCATCGAGTCGATTCTAACCCATAGTGATCCTGTATAGGGTTTCCAAGGAACAGCTGGTGAGCTTGAACCACCAACTTTGCAGTTCAAACAACTTTGCAGTCTGACGCGTTAGCCCACAGTGCTACACCGGGACTCCTAATAAGTTGATGAAAAAAGAGACAAATGCAAAATGCTGTACCAAACCACACTCAAACCTTACAAACATTTAATTTTTTTTAGAAACATATATAATATAAAGAGTCTCTAAAATTATATTTAGTTATATTTTCCTATCTTATAAATTTTTTCCCTTCTGATTCCCCACCCAATAGCATCCATCCCTTCATAGGGAGAGCAGCTATACCATCTAGAACAGGCATCTATACCCTGAAGGAACCCATAGGTAGAATTCAAGGGTCTATGTAAGTTTACCCACATTATTGGAGCCCTGGTGTGGCACTGTAGAATAAGCAATAGTTTGCAGTTCAAACCCACCAGCCAATTCCTTGGAATCCTATACAGGGACGCTATGAGTTAGAATTAATTTGACGTCACTTAACAACAACAGCAACTGCCTACATATTAAGGGCCCTTGGTAGCATAGTGGGTTATGAGTTGGGCTGCTAACCACAATGTCAGCAGTTTGAATCTACCAGCCACTCCAAAGGTGAGAGAGTCCTTCTGCTCCTGTAAAAATGTATAGCCTTGGAAATTCTATATAGTGTGAGGACTTGGGACTGACTCCTAGACACACAACCACTACCCACATTATTCACTCTCCACTTATCCAGAGTGGTTCTACCATTTGATGCTTTGTTTGGTATTTCACTAACACTTTATATTTGTGTGGTGTTTTAATTTAATTTTGGATTCTCAAATTTTGCTTTTGAGTAAGAATATCATAAGTTTATTTTTAAGTAGAAATCTAACGTGTCAAAAGTAATAATTGAAGAAGAAATGGGCTAGATTCTCTCCATAGACCTGATTTTGGAAAAGAGCTCAACTGTTAACCACAACGTTGGTGGTTTAGCACCTCTGCAGGCGAAAAGCCTAGGAAACCCTGGAGGGCAGTCTTCCTCTGTGCTATGGGTTTGCTATGAGTTGGAATCGACTTGATGGCACCGAGCAACAACAACAAATTATTCGTAACAGCTAACCAACAAATCTAGCTTTCTGTTCACCTATGTTCATAAAAACATTTATGATGGTCATGTTGATCATGTACTGAAAGTGTTGTGTTTGTGTGATTTTTGTTTGTTTGTTTTTGGTTTTTAGCTCTGCCACATAAGCCTGAGAACATCTCTTGTATCTTCTACTATAAGCACAATTTAACTTGCACTTGGAGTCCAACGACTGAGGCTAAAGACACATGGTACACAGTTAAGAGAATTTTGTAAGTATGGGAACTTGTGTGCTCTCAGTAGGGGTGAGGAGAGGAGGCAGGGGTTCCTGGGTCTTTCAGGATTCAACTCACTTATGAAGTAAAACATCTTCTCAATTACAACTTCTGGTTGAGCTTCATGCTGAATCTGGTGTCTGGGGTAGCAGTTTGGTTGCTTGCCACCATTCTGACATGATCTGCAGTCACAGAGGGAGGCCTGCTCTTAGAACTGACTATCCAGTTGCCTGAGAGTGGTGACCTGTTATAAACAGCAGAAAAATCTGCTTATTCACTATGTTCACCTCTGCTTCTCTTCCCAGAATGTGCTGTAACATAGCTCATTCCTCACAGATCCAGCTATAGTAAATAGGATGAACCTGGCGTCAAAGAAGCAAAATTATTTCAATCTGCCACTAGTTTGCTGCATAACCTTGCCAAACAATATTCTTCTAGGACAGCATTGTAGAAAAATTTCACCCCAAGGTGAAACCTCAAGGATCTCTTTTAAAACTAATTAAGTAACAATTTTGGCCAAAAGCTAGATGTCTTAGTGAGTTTGTACAGGGATATTTTTGAAGTTCTGAAAACAGCTCATATAACCCATTCATTCCTTCATGTTCCCTTGGATAGAGTCTATGCTGGGAGCCATTGAAAGCTTATCTTTATTCTGTTTGAAAAACAAATCTATAATTCCAAGTTCATTGTTTTTTACAAATATGAGATCCAGGAGTTCTGGTATGGAACTGCATGGCAAACAATGACCTGCAAAGTCAGCTGTACGAACCCAGCAGCTGATCTTCAGAAACCCCTTTACGGTCGCTTTGAGTTAAGTGCCGTTGAGTCAGTTCTGACCCATAGCGACCCTGTATATGGTTTCTGAGGAGCATATATATATACTGTATGCTGTTTTTGTTGTTAGGTGCCATCAAGTTGGTACCAACTCATAGCGACCTTATGCACAGCAGAACGAAACTCTGCGTGATCCTAGGCAAACCTCACTACTGTTGCCACGCTTGAGCTCATTGATGCTGCCACTTTGCCAATCCATCTCACTGGAGGTCTTCCTCTTTTTCTCTGACCCTCCAGCTTACCAAACATGATATCTTCTCCAGTGACTGGTCCCTCCTGACAATATGTCCAAATTATGAGAGACAAAGTTTGGCCATCCTGGCCTTCAAGGAGCACTCTGGCTGTACTTCTTCCAACACAGATCTGGTTGTTCTTTTGGCACCCCATTGTTGTTCTCAGGTGCCATCGAGTCGGAACCAACTCATAGCGACCCCATGCACAGCAGAACGAAACAATGTCCAATCCTGGGCCAACCTCACTACCGCTACCACACTTGAGTCCATCAATGCCACCTGGCCAATCCATCTCGTTGGGGGTCTTCCTATTTTTCTCTGACCCTCCACCTTACCCAGCATGACATCCTTCTCCAGCGACTGTTCCCTCCAGACAACATGTCCAAAGTATGAGAGACGAAGCTTAGCCATCTTGGCCTCCAAGGAGCACTCAGGCTGCACTTCTTCCAAAACAGATCTATTGGTTCTTTTGGCAGTCCATGGCACTCTCAGTATTCTCCTCCAACACCACAACTCAAAGGCATCAATTCTTCTACGATCTTCCTTAGTCATTGTCCAGCTTTCGCATCCATGTGAGGTTATTGAAAATACCATGGCTTCGGTCAGGTGCACCTTAGTCCTCACGCTGACATCTCTGTCTTCAATACTTTAAAAAGTTCCTGTGCAGCAGATTTGCCCAATGCAATACGTCGTCTGATCTCTTGACTGCTGCTTCCACGAGTGTTGATAGTTGATCCAAGAAGAATGAAGTCCTTGACAACTTCAATCTTTTCTCCACTGATAAGAATGTTGTTTATTGGTCCAGTGGTGAGGAGTTTTGTTTTCTTGACATTGAGATGCAATCCATGCCGAAGGTTGTGCTCTTTGATTTTCATAAGTAAATGTTTCAAGTCCTCTTCACTTTCAGCAAGCCCATGGTATTTTCAATATTCTCCTCCAACACTGTAACTAAAATGCATCAATTCTTCTACGGCCTTCCTTATTCACTATCCAGCTTTCGCATCCGTATGAGGTTATTGAAAATACCATGGCTTGGATCAAGTGCACCTTAGTCTTCAAGCTGACATCTTTTCTCTTCAACACTTTTAAAAGGTCTTGTGCAGCTGATTTGCCTAATGCAATATGTCATTTGATTTCATGACTGCTGCTTCCATGAGTGTTAATAGGTGATCCAAGAAGAATGAAGTCCTTGATAACTTCTCTCTTTTCTCCTTTGATAAGAGTGTTGTTTATTGCTCCAGTGGTAAGGATTTTTGTTTTCTTTACATTGAGATGCAATCCATACTGAAGGCTGTACTCTTTGATCTTCATCAGTAAATGTTTTAAGTCTTTTTCACTTTCAGCAAGCAAGGTTGTATCATCTACATATCACAGGTTTTAATGAGTCTTCCTCCAAGCCTGATGCCACGTTTTACTTCATAAAATCCAGCTGCTTGAATTATTTGCTGATCATACAGATTGAATAAGTATGGTGAAAGAATACAACCCTGGTACAGACCTTTCCTAATTTTAAACCATTTGGTGTTCCCTTGTTCTGTTTGAACAACTGCCTGTTGGTCTATGTTCTTGGTCAGGTTTTTCATGAGCACAATTAAATGTTCTAGACCACTCATACTTCACATTTTTGTCCATAACTTGTCATAATCCACACAATTGAAAGTCTTTGTGTAGTTAACAAAGCCAGGTAAGCATCTTTCTAGTATTCCCTGCTTTCAGCCAAGATCCATTGGACATTAGCAATGATATGCCTCGTTCCATGTTCTCTTCTGAATCCAGCTAGAAACTAGGGAAGTACTCTATCTATATATTGCTTCTGGTTTTGGATTACCTTTAGGAAAACTTTACTCATATGGGATATCAGTGATATTGTCTGATGAATTTCACATTCTGTTGGGTCACCTCTCTTGGGAATGGGCACAAATATGGATCTCTTCTAGTCAGTTGGCCAGGTAGTTTTCATCCAAATTTCTTTGCATAGATGAGTGAATGCCTCCAGTGTCGCCTCACTTTGCTGAATGATTTCAATTTATATTCCATCAAATTTGAGTGCCTTGTTCTTTGCCAATGCCTTCAATGCACCTTGGACTTCTTCCTTCAGGATCATTGGCTCTTGATTATATGTACCTCTTGAAATGAGTGAACATCTACCATTTCTTTTTGGTACAGTGACTCTGCGTATTCATTCCATCTTCTTTTGAGGCTTTCTGTATCATTCAATAATTTGCCCATAGAATCCTTCAATACCACAAATCAGGGTTTGAAATTTTTCTTGAGTTCCTGCAGCTTGAGAAATGCTGATTGTGTTCTTCTCTCTTGGTTTTCTGACTCCAGATCTTTCCACATTTTGTTGTAATATTTGACTTTGTCTTCTTGAGCTGACCTTTGAAATTTTCTGTTCAACTCTTATATCTCCTCAGTTCTTCCATTTGCTTTAGCATCTAATATGCTGGAAAGCAACTTTCAGACATTCATTTTGATCTTTTCCTTCTGTCTTGTCTTCTTAATGAACTTTTGCTTTCTTTCTGTATGATGTTCTTGATGTCATCCCACAACCTTTATGGTCTTTAATCTTTAGTGTCTAATGCATCAAATCTGTCCTTCAGATCTCTAAATTATGTGGGATATATTCAAGATCATGTTTTGGTTCTCGTGGATTTGTTTTCATTTTCTTCAGCTTCAGCCTGAATTTGCATATGAGCAATTGGTATAGTCTGTTTCACAGTCTGCCCCTGGCCTTGTCTGATTGATGATATGGAGCTTTCCCACTGTCTCTTTCCACAGATATAGTCAATTTGATTTCTGTGTATTCCATCTGGTGAGGTCCATGCATATAGTTGTCTTTTATGTTGTTTAAAAAAGGTATTTGCAATGACCAAGTCATTTGTCTTGCAAAATTCTATCGTGTGATCTCCAGCATCATTTCTATCACTGAGGCCATATTTTCCAACTGCTGATCTTCCCTCTTTGTTTCCAATCTCTGAATTCCATTTGCCAGTAATGATCAATACATCTTGATTGCATATTTGATCAATTTCAGATGGAAGAAATTGGTAGAATTCTTCAATTTCATCATCACTGACTTTAGTGGTAGGTGTATAAATTTGAATAATAGTGATATTAACTGGGCTTCCAGATAGGCGTATTGATACTGTCCTATCACAGACAGCATTGTCTTCATGACAGATCTTGATATGTCCTTTATGAGGATGAATGCAATACCGTTTCTCTTCAATTTGTCATTCCCAGCATAGTAAACCATGTAAATGTCAGATTCAAAATGGCCAATACCAGTCCATTTCAGCTCACTAATGCCTAGGATGTTGATGTTTATGTGTTCCATTTCATTTTTGACAATTTCCAAATTTTGTAGATTCTTACAAAGGCCACTTTTCCCCAGTCTCATTTTGAGTGCCTTCCAACTTGACGGCTCATCTTCCGGCACTATATCGGACAATATTTTGGTGCTCTTCATCATGTTTCAATATTAAATAATCTGATACCGACAGTGTTCCACTGCTATTCATAATGTTTTCAGTGACTAAGCATTTGGAAGTAGTTCATGTCTCCTTCTTCCTAGTCTGTCCACTGTGGGTGACCCTATTGGCATTTAAAATACTCATGGCATAGCTTCCAGTGAGATGGATTGACAAACTGGTAGCATCAATGGGCTCAAGTGTGGTAACAATTGTGAGATTGGCTCAGGATCAGGCAGTGTTTCATTCTGTTGTGCACAGGGCCGCTATGAGTTGATACTGACTTGATGGCACCTTACAACAACAACAGCAGTGGAATAAAAAAATCTGGGAGCCTTAATTGTTTCTCTCCAATTTTTCTGTTTCCTTCATCTTTTTCTATGGTTTGTCAATATTATTACCAACTGAGCATTTGGAATACCCTAGAACTATGATTCACAGCTCCCCTTTATGACTGCAGGCCAGCCTAAACTTCAAGTACTTCTAGACTGGTATGCATTTTTGTGAGTTCATTGCCTGGAATATCTTTCCCAGGTAGAATGGTAGGATTTACCTGTGGAAGCGTAGTGGTTATGAATCGTGCTGCGAACCTTAAGGTCAGCGGTTCGAAACTACCAGGTGCTCCGCGGGAGAAAGATGAAGCTTTCTACTCCCGTAAAGATTTACAACTTCAGAAACCCTATACAGGGTCACTATGGGTCGGAACCGACTCGATGACACATAACAACAACAACAAATGACCCTAAAAAAATATTAGGGTAGTTCAGTTTTGTGGACAAACTCCTACTGATACTTAATACAATAGGAATTTATATTGCCTTAGAGAAGAAGAGGAAGAATTGAGGATGACTTCATGGAGGGGGTGGCTCTTCAACTGAGACTTGAAGGAAATCTGCAGGTATGGGGAAGGGCATTTCTCAAGGTACAGCAAGAGCAAATACAAAATGTCCAGCTATAGTAACAATAATAATAACAATGATGATGCTTGCATAGATTAACTATGCTGTAGGATAAACACGGAAAGTTCAGTGGCTCCATAGGATAAGCACTGGACTGCGAATTACAAGGTCAGTGGTTTGAGTCTCCCAGTCACTTCATGGGAAAATGATGAGGCTTTCTGCTCCTGCAAAAGATTTAAAGCCTCAGAAACCCTATACAGGGGTGTTATGAGTCAAAACTGACTCCTTGGCACTTAACAACAACAACAACAGGATGAACACTGAACTGCTAACCACGAGGTCAGCAGTTTAAACTTAACAGCCACTTTCCAGAAACCCTATAGAAGGTCTCTATGAGTCAGAACCAACTCAACAGCACTTAACAGCAACAACAACAGTGTCCCATTACCGGTATTAGCTTATTTAACCCTCATGACAACCGTATATTATAGGCATATTGTTGTTGTTATGTGCCGTGGAGTCGGTTCTGACTCATAGTGACCCTGTACAGGGTTTCCGAGGCTGTAAATCTTTACGGGAACAGAAAGCCTCATCTTTCTGCTGTGGAACTGCTGGTAGTTTCGAACTGCTGACCTTGCGTTTCGCAGCCCCATTCGTAACCACTACACTACCATATAATATAGGCATATTACTGTCTTCATTTTGCAGATGCAAAAACGAAGGCACAGAGAGGTAAGATATTTGTTCAAGACAAAGGGTTTATAAGGAGCAAAGCCAGGATTCAAACCTGTTTGACTTCCAGAGTCCATGCTTGAGACAACTGAACAGCTGTTCCCAGGAGGCCATTTTTGCATTGTCAGGGTCCAGAGGAAAGCTTTGAGTTCCTTCCTGATGTCACAATTCCATGCTACTGGGTGTCCAAGCTCTGCTTCCTCCTCCTGCTCCAGCAAACACTGGCACCCTGTACAGGGGATCCCTTTACTGTCCCCAGCCCTATCCCCAGGGCCATGTGGACCTCTGTACCTATGTATATGATTCTCACCAATATGTTCGTTTATTTACATTAAGTTACAGCTCAATGGCATTGCCATATTTATTTAAGAAAATTAATTTAATACATTTTCTAAAAATAATATATTTCAGCGGAAAAAAATTCAACCTGAAAAATATAAAAAATGTAAAAAATCATCCAAATGCCACCACCAAAGTTAACACCTAATGAAGATGTTTTGATGAAACCCTTGCTATACCGTCTCTATGCATAGTTACATACATATCTATTTAAGTTTATGACTGCTCTGTAGATGGTAAGAGTCTTGTTTCTTTCACCAGGAACAAAATATGAGCATCTTGTCATTTCAATAAATATGTTGTTGTTGTTGTTGTTGTTAAGTGCTGTGTAGTCGATTCTGACTCAGCAACTCTATGTAGGGTTCTGAGGAATGGCTGGTGAGCTTGAATCACTGACCTTGCTGTTCAAACTGACTTTGCAGTCCAGCACATAACCCGCAGTGCCACACCAGGACTCCATCAATATAGATGTATTAAAAATCATCATTTTAAATTAAATTCTATTTGTTTCTCAGCCATAATTATTTAATAAAGCCTGTTTGATTTTTATTGTCTTTTAAGAACGAAATCTCAAGGCTGAATTCTGGATTCTCTTGGGTGTATTGATTATGTCTTACAAAAAGGGAATACATTGTTAGTGAACCTTTTGATAGGCTTACTGGAGGCTCCATGGTTCATAGCATCTCAAATTGGCATAGTTTTGGAGACGAGTAAGTAAGTTGGAGAGAAGGACCCCAGATCCTGATCTGTGTAGGTCTCAGAGAAACTCGGCGTGTGACTAACATAATATGTTGAAAACATTGCATATAGTTATGTTTCTAAACTGCTTTACGAAACTCATGTTTAATCACTTTTTTCCCTAAAGCCATGAAAAAGAAAGAGATATGTGTACAAATAAAACCGAAACTTCATGTTTTATTCGCTATCCAAATGTAACAAACCCAGATGATTATACCATTGAAGTGGAAGCTAAAAATGCAGATGGTATAGTTAAATCTGATAGAACACATTGGTGTTTAGATAGCATAGGTAAGTATTATTTGATACCTTTATTTCATCTTATACATTTATATAATCTCAAAAAACTTACTGAATCAAGGTTCAAGGGTATGGTAGGTGTGTGTGTGTGTGTGTGAGCTATGGATATCCAAAAAAATTTCTTTTTTTTATTAAGGAAAGAAGGAAGGAAGGAAAGAAAAAAGAAATGAAGGAAAGGAAAGACAAAGCATATTGATAAAATGAGAAACAAGACACAACTTGCTAGTCCCTGACTTATATACAAGTTTTGTGTAGACATGTTTTAAATTTTCTTGAGTGTGAAATTGCTGAGTCATATGATAACTTTATGTTTAACTTTCTGAGAAATGACTGAACTTTTCCAAAGTGGTTGCCACTAACAAAATAAGAGAGTTCCAATTTTTTTTTCTCATATCTTTGCTGATATTTGCTAATGTCATCTTTTTTATTTAGCCAGACTAGTGGGTGTGGTACTAGACGATAAACACTGAACTATGAACCACAAGGTCAGCCATTTAAACCCACCAACTGCTTCTTGGAAACCCTATACAAGGTTACTATGAGTCAGAATCCACTCGATGACAATTAAGAACAAGTGGATATGACTAAATTTTAAAAAAGTATGGCTGGTATGGCTAAATAAAAAAAAAAAATAACAGTAAAGTTTTGGAAAAGATTCGGAATCCTGGTATGATCTTATAGGATTTGCACTGGACTGGTAACCGAAAGGTTGCTTGTTCAAACTCACCAGCTGCTCCTTGGAAACCCTATATAAGGTCGCTGATTTGGAGCCAACTCAAGGGCACTTAACAAAAACAGTGGGGATGAAGTGATAATACATTGCATTTTGATTTGCATCTTTTCATGTGCTTCTTTGCCACTTATATATCTTCTATGGATAAATGTTTATTCAAATTCTTTGCACATTTTAAAATTGGATGATCTTTCCTTATCATTGTTGAGCTTTAGGAGTTCTTTGCTATCTGAATACAAGTTCCTTATGACTTGCAAAGCTTTCTCCGGGCTATTTCTTCATTTTCGTAATGGTATCCTTTGAAGCACAAAAAAGTTGTAATTTTGATGAAGTCCTGTGCTTTCCTCTTCTTTCCTTCCTTCTTGGCATAGAATCGGATCTATTCAATAAAAGACTGATTTTCAGGAAAATCACAAGATTGTGTTCTGTCTTCATTGAACGTTCCTTTTTTTGCACTGCCTTCCTAATTCCTTTTGCATACCATGTCCCATAAACAATGCATGCCATTTCAGAGCTAGGCTTATTTATTTATTTAAATTTGAGAACTATGTTATTTTTATTTTCAGTGAAAATTGAACCACCTAAGATCGACTTTGTGAAACCAGTTTTGGGTGTTAAACAAATGGTTCAAGTACAATGGGAAAGGCCTAAGTTGGCACCTGTTTCATCTACTTTAATATGCACACTTCGATTCAAGACAGTAAATAATGCCGAGTGGGTAAGTAGTGCCATCAGAATATTTCCACTGGGGGTTCAATAAAGTGGACCATTGGCAAACGTGTTTGATCTGGGCTCACCTTCACTTTCTATAATGATAATAGGAGATTGAAAGTACTGAGCACTTCTCTTCTCAGATTCCCATCTGGGTATTTTATACTGGAAAAATGTTCTACTGTAGACATTTTGCATTCTGAGTATAGAAACACTAATGAGTGAAAAGTTTCTGTATTCTTTCCTGGTTTGTGTTTAGTTACATTTGTTTACTGGGGATTCTAAGACATGGTCCTTTCCTTTTTAATTTTTGAAATATGTATAAAACTGTGAAATATAACATATATTTAGAAAAATAACAAAACATAATGCTAAGTTTAACATATTATTTATTAATAAATCAATGCTCATGTAACAACCAACAAGACCAAGAGTCAAATGTTGCCAACACCTCAAAATTCCTGCATCCCTCTTTATTATTATAACTCCCTCCTCCCCTAAGAACTATTGTCCTGATTGTTATGGTATCATTTCTTTAATTTCAATTATGGTTTTACCATTTAAGCATTCACCCAAAATTTATTTGTATGAAGTCTGAGACTTTATATAAATTGAATCTATATATTTTGTGCTAATTTGTTTTCTTTCTCTCAAGATTGTCTTAAAATTCAGCCATGTTACATAATGCTGGGAGTCCCTGTTACTGTGTTCAGTTGCCATCCTCAACTGCTAAGTAAAAGGTTGGAGTTTCAAATCTACCCAGAGGTACCTCGGAAGAAAGGTCTGACGATCTACTTCCAAAAAATTCAGCCATAGAAAATCCTGTGCTGCATAGTTGTACTCTGACATTCATGGGGTCAGAATCAACCTGATGGCCGCTGGTTTATATAATGCTGTACTTTATACATTGTCATTGCTGTGTGTATATAAACACAATCGAATAATAGCTTAATTTGCACTTTTCTGACTGTTAATGAGGTTGCATGCTTTGTCATATATTTGGACTTCTTTCCTTATGAAATATTCATTTAACTTTTTACTAATTTGTCTAATTTTTAAATTAACTTGTAGGAGTTCCTTAAATATACTTATATCTTTTTTATTTGTTATGTGTATAAACGTCTTCCACTGTGTGACTTGCCTTTTAACTCTCTTAATGGTGATATTTTAATAGATAGAACTTCTGAATTTTAATATTGCCAAATTTTGTCAATTATTTTAATGATTAATGTCTTTTTGTGTGTGCCTTAAAATATATTTTCTCACTTCAAAGTCATGAAGACTTTCTCCTATTTCCATCAATGCAACTTGAAATTATATCAAGTGTTTTTCTTCCGCTCCTTCACATTCCCTCTTAGTGAGCTTGCAGCAATTAAGTCTTCAAAAATCTCTGCCTTTCCCCCTTGCTATAGTTGGTTCATAATCAGATAATAAGTCTAGGCATTAAAAAATATTCCTATTGAATCTCTTCATGTTGGTCTTACCCACCTTTTTAATTTACATTATTTTCAGATTTGATAATATTTTCTTCTGTAAATAAAACAAACAAAAACCTCGCTGTTGTGTGGACAGAGTAGAATTGTTCCATAGAAGTTTTGTGGCTGTATATCTGCCACATCATTCTTCAGAATGCCTGGTGGATTTGAACCACTGACCTTGTGGTTAGCAGTTGAGCACTTTAACCACTGTACCTCCAGGGTTCCCTTACTTCTATGTCTTTATATAATTATTGATAGAAATATTGACTACCTCTGAGCCCTGTGGTGAAACCATTAGAGACCATCCAGAGACATCAGCCTTCTCACCTTGCCTTCTTTGTGTATGGTCATTTATTCAGATTGCTAAGAACAGACCTAGTGACCAGGATAGTCATTTAGCCTACTTTTATCTTGTCCTTGAGACTATCACAGCACTCTTTTCTTCATTGAAACTCAGACACAATGTCTAGTGCATCCTCTCCTATCTAGAACTCTTCCAGAAAAGAAAACTGGCTAAGTTTTACTTGGCCACTTCTCTTTGAAACTTCCTATCTTAGACAGCAATGGAAACTTTTTTCTAAAACCTGACTCCATGAGACACCAGACTCACTGTTTTTTATTTTATGTGTCTCAGAAGGAAGCCCCTCAGTTGATGGCACAGCACCAGTTCAAGTAGTTCATCTTTCCCACCATGCTTCACGGTCTCACTGGAGCTTAGGGACTTCTGGAGTGTTCTGTGGACTAACAACCCTTGACTCCATCTAATTGTCTGAGGTTATAGCCACTACAGCAACTAGGATAGGATTCCAAAATACATTATTAAACAAACAAAAAAACCCAAAAAACCAGGACCTACATCCCTCTGAGAAAATTTCTAGACCATGTATGTACAAACACTAAGTGAGGCCAACACGTATGAACCACTCAACTGTCTGCTTTCTCTACCCCTACCTTTGTGACAAACTCACCTACATCTACATTCATCCTTGCCCCATTCCTTTAAATTCCTGAGATGAGATGGAATGTCCCTTCTGTTCCCTGAGAGGATGTAGGAAGGAAAATGGAATTTGCAGTATCTCCTCTCTCCTTTCAGCTTTCAAATAGAACCAAGTGTCCTCAGTTCTAAACCCAACTTAGCATTATCTATGGAATAAGATCCAATTCCTTAACCGTCTAAGACCTGGTCCCTTACTGACTCCTCCTACCTCAGCTTTTAACTTGTCTTTTCTTTTCTGAATTGCTTGTTTCCCTTGCATTGTGTTATTTCCTTATTCTGTGCCTCTGTCTGGAACACCCTCTGATTTTATACTTCTTTTCCTGCTCCAAACCTTGCTAAATCTAGTCATCGTTCTGAACTCAGATGTGACATATTTCCTTCTGAGAGCCTGAGCCTTCCTTCTCTGTATATCTCTCGTTGCGCTCAGTCCTTAACATATCCTTTCAAATTTACCTTTTCCCATATTGGATTGTAATCTTTTCACAGACAGGGACTTTGGTTTTCATCTTTGCTTTCCCATTGCTTGGCATATGTCTTTGTTCAATAAATGTTTGTTTAGCTGAATTAAATCTTATAAAAATTATCTGAAAATTCTGACATGTCCATATAACAAGACCCATATTAATATCATGTATATTAATGGATTGCATTAATTAATCATTATTAATTACAAATAATTATGAATTACAAAGTGCTTTTATACCCCAAACTATTTAATCTTTGCATGTCACTTACACAGATGTTGCTATCCTTATATTTATAAATGAGAGCATTGAGATTTATAGAGCACAAATACCTGTTCAAGATTACAAGCTTATAAATTGTGACCTGACTCCAACCCCAGTTGTCACTGTGAACATACTTAAACAACCTTCAAGCCACCTTTCTGTTGTTAAGTGCAATTGAGTCCGTTCTGACTCATAGTGACCCTGTAAAGGGTTTTTAAGGAGTGGCTTGGTGGCTTTGAATCAACAGCCTTGTGGTTAGCAGTCTAGTGTTTATTTTCCAATGCTACATCAGGACTTCCTGTATTCCTAGTCTAAAGGGTTTCCATCTTTATGTAATGGAACCATCTGACTGCTCTACAAAGGGATTAAAAATTTGTTTAAGAGTTTGAGCTAGGCTTTGTACCCAAACTCCTGACTCATTTCTTAAGATCAGACATTTTGGGTGAGCTAGGATTTGGCACAAAGTCTAGATTGTTAGAAACAATCCTGACGAAGCTAATTAGTGTTTTGGTAGAATTCCATTGTCTGTATTAAGTTGGGAAAGTTTTAAATTCAAGACTGTATATGAAGGATTAATTGATCCTAGGCCCTGTGAGGGCTAAAGGCACTAGCCTGAACACAAAGTCAAGTTAAAGGAGCCTTAAAGGAATTCTGATAAGGAGCTCTGGTAGTGTAGTGGTTACAAGTTGGGCTGCTAACCTCAAGGTCAGCAGTTCAAAACTATCAGCCATTCCACGGGAGAAGGATGAGACTTTCTGCTCTCATAAAGATTTACAGCCTTGGAAACCTTGTACAGGATCAGGATCATTATGAGTCGGAACCGACTCCACCGCATACTACCCATACCATACCAAAGGAATCTTGACGGTGCAATGGTTAAGGGCTTGGATGATAACTGAAAGGTCAGCAGTTTGAGTCCATCAGCTGCTCTGGAGAAAGATGTGCCATTCTGTTTCCATAGATTATAGCCTTGGAAACCACGTGGGGCAGTTTTACTCTGACCTTAGAAGGTTACTATAAGTTGGATTTAACTGGATAGCGACAGACTTGGTCTTTGATTTAGAGGCACGTTGTTTAAAATAATGAAAAGAGTTTTGTTTCCTCCAAGGTTGGGACTGGGAAGAAAATATTTAAATATTTACATCAGGCAGAGCTTTCTAAGCGCAAGCAGGTAACACACAAGCAGGCCACGCTTGTGAGAGGACAAGCAAAGCAGAAGGAAAGAGTAAAGATCCTTTTTTCAGAACATAATGTTTTTTAAATTATCATTATTTGTTTGTTTTAAAGCATATAAAGTAAATTAAAACTTTATTAGACTTCCTGACACTTACTTTATGGATTAATAGTTTTATTTTGAATTACATATGGAAGTCACCATGTGTTGGACGACTTCTAGAAATCTTAATCCTTCTGCAACTGGACTCTTGAAGTAACTGGACCCTTAAGTACTTGGGGCAATGCTTCCCCAGAAGTGATGGACTTTCCCACGTTTATGCTCCATAGAGCCCTTGTTTGCTGTGACAGCATCTCCAGGCACCTTTGGAAGAGAGTGCTCATGGACCCTGGAATTCAGTGGTGAACAGTGCATCACCTCTGAATCATACCTTCTCTGAGCCCATCTCACCAGGCTGGAGACCAGATGTGCTCCTCTGCAGCTGGCATGCTTAGTCTTCTTCCAAGGACATGCTGCTTTCTTCCTTTTGCCTAACTTCCTTTAAAACCCAGGACTTGTAATTATGTATTTATTGTCATAGTTGTATATACACCAGGAACCTTGGTAACACTGTGGGTTAGGCATTGGACTGCTAACTGCAAGATCAGTGGTTCAAACCTACCAGCCACTCCATGGGAGAAAGATGAGGCTTGCCTGCCTCTGTAAAGATTTACAGTCTAGGAAACCCTATATAGGTTTGCTATGAGTTGGAACTGCCCCGATGATAGTGGGATTTATATATATATAAGAAATAGAAGGACTTTTTTATCAAGGTTTCATGAGACTTACAGTAGACATGAGACTTTTATTTTATTTGTTTACATAAACCAAGAACCAAAACTTTATATTGCAGCAACTTTGACCATGCTGAGACAGGAATGTTTGAATTTTTGTTTGTTTTTTATTTGAGGGCTGAGTCCAGAAGGGATGTTAAGAATTATCTAGTGCAAGGTTGTTATTTTATTAATGAGGCAACTTAGGTCTAGAGAGAAGAAGTGTATTTGCCATCTCCATCCTCAAGAAGGAGCCCTGGTGGCATAGTGGATTATAAGTTGGGCTACTAACCACAAAGTTAGCAGTTTGAATCCACCAGCCACTCTGGGTGGAAAGATAAGGCTTTCTGCTCAGTCAATATGGGTCAGAGCCAACTTTATTACACTTAACAACAACAATCCTCAAGAAAGTGTCAAAATGAAGAAGATACCCATACTAAAATGAAAAAAA